AAACGAGAGAGACTGTGGACGAGTATTTTGGTTCCCAAAGCACGCTGGGTCCAAGTTTTCGGGACCCATAAGTCCTTTCGGTCATTGTACCGTTACAGTCTCTAAGCGTGAAGACGGAACGGACGAGCGAGAGACTGTGGAAGAGTCTATTCAAAATCCCTACTGCAAATCAACGGCCGAAATCAGCCAAAACGCCACAGGAAGTCCATTACCCAATCCAAGAACTGAGAGTCTGGGAAGCCTATGGTTAGTTATAGCGAAAGAAAACAATACGTGATATTTAACCGCGCGTGCCCAATGCTAACCACTAAGCCCGTGCTATCGTGAAAATTCAGTGCAACGCCATTTTTTGTTTAGACAGCATGATGGCTCATGTGGAAACAAGTGTTCTTGTTCTCAAATGCTGTTGTAGCAACGCGTGCCAGTCAGTCATTATCTTCGCCGCAGAACATTTGACAGAGGCAGGCAAGGATGCACAGGGGCAGAGCAATGGCACCAATCAAAATCCACATCAAGACCAGCAGGAACCCTACACAGCAACCTGTAGACAAACAAACATATGGAATCAACAAACTGACAGATTAAGTAATATTTCTAAAATAGTTAATAGCTAAATTTTGTTTCACGGCTAAAATCGCTCTATAATCGAATATTTTGAGGTTTGATGCAACTTAATATTGGATCTTATGCTTAGCATGGACAAGAATATTTACCGGAAAAAGCATATTGCCAAAAATTTGTCGGAAAACTTCATATCGTTTGGACCTTAATCGTATCACCCATAGTGCATTTCTGGCTTGATATAAGTGCGAAGACACAAAACCTTCAGAAACTTTTCCTTTTTTCGGAAATAGCTGTCTACGTATATGAATGCGAATAATCAGTGATTGAGTAAGAAAAACTGGAGAACCCTGGCGTATACACTTGTTACCTTTGCCCTGAGGATTGTACCACGCGTACTCCGGTGCCGGGCTCTGGTGTATGTGTATGACATGTGGCGGCGGGTGTGGCAGGGGTAATGGTCTTGGAGCAGGCATCATCCTGAAACATTAGTTAGTTAAGGCACCGGTCATTATCTATAGATAGGGGGGCCTCGTGCAGATAGGGAGTGGGTCACCAATTTTTATGCTTGGAAAAAAGGGGGGTCATACAAATTTATGTAAGGACTCACCAAAATATCAGCAGGGTCGTTAAGCCGCACTGAGAGGCAGTTGCCTTGGTAAAATGTCACAAATGTTCCTCAAAACGCTGGAAATCGTATTTCCGAGGGTCTGAATTTCAAAACTTTTCGGGGTAGGGTGCCCTCCAACCCAAGCTTGTCTCCCAACCCCTCTAGTTGCTCCCACCTTCAGCGATTAACATTTCAGTTTAGCTACGGCCCTGATCAGTAGGTCTTATCTATTTCTACTTACACTAGCCTTATTTCTTAGTCAACATGATGAAAACAGTTGATTCAATGCTAAAACTTTTTATTTTCACAAACATTGCAAACCTATAAACTTTTGAAGGTTAATTCTCAGATCCAAAAAGTCCTATTCTGGTACTTATGGGCCGGAAAATCGACTGAGAATACCTCAAACACAACTCTTGATATGTGGTATAAATCATTTCTCAACATTAGCAATGTATTTCTTCAATAACAATCAGAGGCGGCGGAAGCTAAAAATCTTTGGGGGGAGGGGGGGGGGCACTGAAGATTATATTTAACGCTATGTGATAATGACAATGTTTTGTTTGATTGCAGACGCATGCGTCCAAAGAAAGAAGATGATTAACCTCTCAACATCCTATGGCACTAGATGTAAATTTCAAACCAATATATGTAGATATTTCTTAAGATGAACGAAGAGAGTCAACTTGACTCCAAGAATCTGACCTGGAATTTTTCAAATAGCTTTACCATACTACCTCTACCGGTGTTTCTATTGAACGTTTGATTTGGGCCTACGATGTGCGCGCGCACAAAAACCGCTGAATAATCAACCTTCGAAATGTTATTGTCAAACCAGACACGAGTGAAAACGTTTGCGCATGCTCTGAATCCGTATGCAAATTAGTCAAAACATAAGTAAATTTGACTTTCAAACAACATGCCTGATAAATTAGACTTAACAAAATGCCAAAACTTAGTGTCCATGCTTGAGACTTAAGGCTAATTCTTTCATATTGTGTTTGTTAATACAGTATCTTGGTCTGACAAAAGTATACTCGCGAACTTTTTTGTATACTTGGAGAAAACAAACATTTATTTTCTCACTCGAACTCTTCAAAATTCTTAGAAAACGTGCTGAAGTGCACGCATGCGCAAACGTTTTTCTCTAGTGTCGTCGAACCATGCATGCATGCATAATTTTGAAACCCTCAGATTTTGCTGACCTGGGTCAACAATGCAAAGTGCGAAATCATTAAAATTTTCAATCAAGCATTAAAAATTATTATTAATAATGCATTAAATATAATCCACACCCGTTTTGTGAGCCATCTTCCTCCAAGTTTACCCAAAGTAGCTCAATAAACTTGCGATCAAGCAAGGAATATATTATTATGAAGTTCGATAGATACTTCATTTGCACTAGACTAGGATTCAAAGTATATCATTCTATAAAAAAAGGTGTAATGTTTATCTGTTGTTATAAGGTTATTTATCTATTTTATTATGAAATTCGTTTTCGAATAATATCTTTTTATAGGAAATAACGACTTTACCTTGGTTGGTGTTCCTCAATCCTGTGTCTTTCTATTGCTACAATCCTGGTAAAGCAATAACCAAATATATCCACATCAAATAACAACACGGAAATACAAGTATTTTTTGTTATTATTAGTTTTTCTCACCCTTCTTCTGTAGCCACCAAAGCTGTTTCTTTAGTGACCTCAATATTTCCAATTCTCGCTTTCTCTTCTCGGACTGCGACAACAGCGGCTCCGCTCATTGTTATTTTAGAATTTTYGATTCAGTTAAGTTGCGGTAAATTCTTTCCAAATTCCTATCTTCCCTTACTGAATTATAGACAACATTAGCTTCCGCAATTCAGCAGTAGATCACGTGATGCATACCCTTCGGCACATAGCGACAAGCACTGATTCATTTATGCACTCATGCTTGCCGGCAGATGATTGATCCAACGCTCGTTCCACTATCAAATTCTCAGTTGTTCAAAGATATCTGTTGTATTTTCGATTGTTTTCTTAACATAAAATCTCTCTCGACTTGCTATTTTTCACGCTCTCTCTCTCTCTCTCTTTCTCCTTCTCGATTTATTACGTACGAATATGCAAAATAAGTTCATAGTCTGTTACGTCATGATCTTGCACAATAATATCCTTGACCTTGTCTAGAATATTAATTTATTCCGGGTAAAGGTTCATGAAATTTCCAATACAAGATGAGAGTATTTATGCATATCGTAACTTTTGATACCAATAAGGGTATTTCGTTTAGGAAAACAAAGAATGATTTTTTCACGCATTTTTATCTTTCGCTGGTTTGCAATGGAGGACACTTTCTTGACCTTAAATACAAAAGATTAATTAAAGTCGATTTTTCCCCAATTTTATTTTCACCTTTCACTTTTATCTAAATTGGGCTCCCTGTGGTTTACCAGGTCCAAATAATCAATATAAGGCAGACTGAACGAACCACAGGTAGCCCAAGCTTGGTTTCTGTGGTGTCATGACCTCAAAATCAAAGTCCATTGGAAATCGACACTGAGGTGAGTCTACGCGAAGTGTACGCGAAATCGAGGCTAAATAATTTCCGAATAAAGAAACGCTTTTCGAAAAATACAATTTTGAAAAGTAGAAGCAAAGAAATTAGCAACTGACGAACAATGCTGGAGAACATTAAAAGCAAAACCAATATTTGGCCAGGTGTAGCACTTATTTTGACGAGTATGGCATAAACGCTCTGCCTGTAAATGGCTTTTAACACTGCCGTTCGAAATTGTGCAACTTATTTTTACTTCTGCTTTAGATTCTTCGAGACTCTGATACTAGTAAACCGTCCCAACCAGGGTCTGGTTTATCCTTACTCACGAGACGTCACGAAATACTTTATCAGTAGTTTTGGATGCTCAACCAACTAAATCCTCCATCAGTGGCGGATCCAGGGGAGGGGTGTAGGGGGTGAGCACCCCTCCCTGGTTCGACTTTGTGCCCCTACTTCGAAGATAACCAATACAAAATAATGTTTTTCCCTTTTGATTTTAAGGGGTGCACCCCTCCTTGGGTTAACTTTGTGCGCAGCACCCATCCCTGAACAAATTCCTGGATCCGCCCCTGTCCATGCATGTTGAAACCAGGTCCTCCAGGTATCCCAGTGTACCCTGCAAACAGGGTCTTGTTGTTTATTAAAATAATTGATCCTGATTGATAATATGTAAATGATAAGTGTTTTCGTTATATGCATTTGTAAAGGTGTGCATTCTTTTCTTTATCCTCGATCAGTTTGACAGTATTTCGAGATGTATTTAGATGATTAAAATGAGGCTAGCCCTGTGTAAATGCTGATGACTTCTTTTGCTCAAGGAACATAGTCCAGTTATTTACAGTCATTCTTAACCACACGCGCCCTCTAGCGATTGTTGCTGTCGCGGTTATGCTGGACGTCAATCACAAGGCGTTTCCAAAACATTTCTGAAAGCACAAAGCTATAAGGGTACGTGCCTATAGAGTGTCATGGAAACGCCTTGATTGACGTCCACCAAAAGCTTCTTCGTCGCGACAAAAGGAAATAATCACTTGAGCGGCGCGTGTGATTGAGAATGGCTGTAATACCATTATCATTGAAGTGCGACCCGCAAAGTTTGATATCTCGTTCGATCGTCAACTAGCATTTCAATTAACAACCGTCAATAAAAGAACTACGGCTCGCACTTCAATGATAACAAAAGACCGGGACAGTGGCTACTAGCTGTATCACTTATGCTAGTCGTAATAGATCCCTTGCATGTGACGTCAAAGTAGCCCAATATCTCCTGAGAATTGAGAATCCATTGTTATGTACTTCAAATCGAGCTGCATTCCGACGTGCTGCAAGGGGTCAACCAATGACATAATGTTATGCAAATGCGAATTAAGAAAAACAGAAGGTACGGCAAGGTTATGCCGCAGAGAAGGATCTTCTAGTATCCCAGAATGCATTGCGAGCGAAATATAGCTACTTTGGAGTACTTTCAGTTCAGTACAGATCGATCCTACAACTGGCTACTTTTATTTGCCACATTAGTCGAACATGTCTTTATCAAATGCTAAAGCAACACCCCAGTATTAGTATTATTAGTGGAAGAAGTATCGTTACAAAAATATGCCTATAAATCGGTGAAAGACAAAGAGAGAATAATAAACGTGCAAAGGCAATGCCACACCTATGGTGTACAGTCCTTTGACTAAACGTTGTCGTTGATCGGATCATCCCTACGCGCCTAGACCGAAAAGGATAACGGGCAAATTACCCAGAACTTGTGTTATCCAAACTGCTCGCCAGTTTAAATCTTCGCCGTATGCTCGAGGCATGGTTTTAGCAAATTGAATGGGATCGAAAAAAGCGAGCTCAAGACGTGTTAGATAACATATACGGCAGCTAGTAACTGTGAATTAATTATCCCCATGATCCTTTTAAGTCTAGGCGCGTAGGGATGACTGCCGATCAAACGACAACGTTTAGTCAAAGAACTGTATGTTCCGTCAGTTTACACATTGTTATCGTTGTCTTTGTCTTTGCAAAACGGGTAGCAAATGCAATAAACTAAAAAGTAAAGAATCAGGAGAGGAAGGCAAATAGCAAAAACCACCAAGTACATCAAGAGTAGCAGAAGGACCATTAAGCATCCTGGGTGGACAGAAAATTACCAATTAATATACAGACTACTGATAGGTCATTTGCATAATGCCGGCGTCGTTAAACAACAACTATAGAGGCTTTGGCACACGCACAAAAAAGCACTATCACGTGATGGCAGCCATAATAGTAGGCACAACTTTCTCCACTGGGAAACTGATTTCTATCTTATGTAAATCAGAATAGGCCAGATTCAATTGTTCCTGCCTCCTGTCATGGCTGCCGTCACGTGATGGTGCAAAGCCTCTATAAAGAATTTGCACCATCATGTGATTGCAGCATTGACTCTTTTTCCCCTGGGAAACTGAATTCTTTTTCGTGTAAATCAGATTATGCCATCACGGGATGCTGCAATTCCTCTATACCAGAATACTTGGCGAACTTTCTTTTTCAAAATCGTGTTTCCTCATGAGATAGTACTGACCTTCCCAAACCCTTGAGGGTTGAGTCGGGTGCTAAAACACTCGTCTCTCACCTCTGAGTTGGTTGGTTCTCTTTCTGATTCCCAGGGTTATGACGGCCCTCCGGTTTTTCCTTCCTCCTCTCAAACCGACCCTAACAAGTTCAAACTGGCTAGAGATGTACTCCAGGGTCATACATGGACTGTATAGCAGCTGCCAGAAGCGCCTTCGCATTGCTGCTGCACTTGCAGTGATGATTCACTTCCCCTCCCCTCCCCTCTTCGTTATGTATTTACCTTTTCCTTGCAGCTCGTGCCAAGAATAATCCGAGTCACATTCACAACAACAATAATCAAAGCAGGTTTTCTGGGATTCATATTGAATGGCTGGTGTAGGCACAGGTGTTCGTGGACCAGGTAGCGCTTGATAGGTACTGATGAATGGAATAAATAGTTTAGAAGATGTACAGTAGTTTTCGTTACGTTCCCCTCTACCCACCCCTCTCTGGTACGTTTTACCTGTTGTAAGGACGTGGCTGCTGTTCAATTGTGTGAGATTGATACACAAGAACTCTAAAATAAAACAAAATATCAGTTACCTTGGTGATTTTGGGCCGGGGTGGGGGAGGGGGAGGGGTATGAAATGGAATAGCGGGAGGATGCGATGGGGGGGGAGGGGGGGGAGGTGGTGGCTTTTATAGATACAGCGCTTAGAAAATATGGTTTAAAGAAGGGAATGAATTTAGAGCGGGTGCAATTAAACCGTGAAATAAAATCAAACTAGTACTAACTAATAGTATCTATTTAGTGACTAATAGTCACTATCACTCAACCAGAACATTAATATTAAGCAAAAGATTTGTCTTTGTGTGATGAAAGTTTAGTTTGCTATTTGGCCGCTATTTGGTATTAGTGTCGTTACGCATCGCTCACTCCCCCAACTAGCTATTCCAATGTATGCGAGCTAGCTGTCGGGAAAAAACAGCAGAAATTAGAATAACAAAACAAGCAACTCCTGCATTTGAGGCAGGCCTTTGATGTTGCCTTTGAAATATTAAGTAAACTGTATATATCCGATATATGAGACAGCTTCTGCTAGACATGGCCTTTTCAAGGAAATGTTATGATTACACTTCGATGGATTTGGCTCGCATGACTGCGGCAGTGCAAAACCACGGAGTCCTCTCCTCATAACTTTGATTCTGTGCATCAAAGAACGTCCTTAAAGTGTATATGACACGAAAACATTCCATCATTTAAAATGTATAGTTTGTTAGTAATAATAACTATATCGTAACAAAATTTGTTTCAAAAGCTTATTTCTTGAGATATTTGCGAAAGTTAACCCCAATTTGTGACGTCATTTTGTTGACACGTACTCTAGATTCAGTAGTAATGTACTAAATATAAATTGTAATTCATATAAATTAACAACAAAAAGCATATTTCAGTCAGCTTCATTTGATAGCTTACGTAGTACTCTTCCAATGTTGGGAAATTGAAAAGTGTACTACCTGAAATTAAGATTCTTAATTCAAACATATTTCATGTATTTGCAACTAAATCTGGAGACTTGTAAACAAAATGACGTCACAACTCGTGCTAAAATGTTTTGAATTTCTAGAGAAATACGTTTTTGGAACAAATTTAACCGTGATATTCTTATTAATGCCAATAAACTACACATTCTTAACATTAAAATTTTTTCGTGTCATATACACTTTAAATCGTTTGAATAAAAATATAAAATAAATTACTACTTCTTTTAAAAAACTGTCCTAGACAAGAATACAATTAAAATTCAAGTATCACGGCTGAGACCCAGACATGCAGAAACATGAAGGATGTTGAGTACATCGTTCGTTTACCCTTCATCCGTGGCTATTACAGCTGTTTTCTTCGCAACTTCTACATTCCCAATCCTTGTTCTTTCTTCTTCGACTGCAACCACGGCATCTCTACTCATTTTTGCACTTAATCTTCGCAAAACGGTGTACAAAACAAAACAAGCAACGGATGGAAGAGTAACGAGATGCTTTATAGCTGAATTTCCGGGAACTCATGGCGGTCACATGACCAAGGGCAAGACCTTGACAGACTATTTTGGCCATGAATAAATAAAATATATTTTATTATCTTGATTATATTATCTTTAGTCTTGCTTTTTCTCTCCCTGCCCATGCAAGGAGAATTTGGCGAGATGAAGTAGCGAGTAGACTACTGGTCAGGGTTTGTACAGGATTCCCTATGAGAATTTCTAAAACCGTTTCCAAACCTTTCCAAAGCGCTAGCCCTTTTACTCAAATTTCTAAAACCAAACAAAGCCAAATTCATGCCACTCAAAGATAATTGGTACCTTTTATGGATAATATCATTAGAACCACAACCAACTGGACATGACTCAGGTTCCCCCCTCCCCCTCCCCCCGCCACTTCCGAGCCAAAATGGCTGCTTAGGTGCTGTAGCAGGCAATGACACTCATGACCACACGTACAGGCTAGATAAGCTACACTGAACCAGCCATAACGTTTCCTTATGGCCTAGTGGACTAAAAATCAATTTTCTAAAACTTTCAAGGCCATGGGAAAATGTTTGATATATTTTATGATAAAACTCGTCGGTAAATTTGGCGCGAAGCAGAAATGAAAATTCCTCAGTTAGAAAATCAAATTTATGAAGTACAGCTGTAAGTGTTACTGTAGCCACATACTGGGATTCCTGTGATGTCACGCAATACCAACAACTTTAACATAGTTTTAGATGACCTAAAAAAGCGCTTTACAAATATGGCAGTGTTTTACACGTTCTATCTTTTATACCTTCTCATAGCAACACTCATTGGTTTGGGATGTACTTCAATACGATATAAGAAGAGTAATTATAGTGTAAACTGCCCGTTGAACGATGTTATAGTAAGTGTGTTTGCTGACCCTCCATATTCAAGGAACAACAGTACTGATGGAGTGATGAGTGACTTCATTCGTCTCGGAATTAAGTTGTGTTTTAAGTCCAAATCCTGTACCAAGACCAAAGATATACAATGGAAGTGGGTACAGTCTGTAGATGAACTTGAAAGCCTGATAAAAAACGAGCAAACGAACATAGCCTTTCCTGTACCACCGTCATTGTCGTCACGAAGGACTCGCTTCTCTGTTAAAGCTCGAGTCGAATATTTCCCGATATTACTTTCACCAGGACCAGCTTTAATAGTGAATAACCAAGCCTGTCAAAGGATTTCAAAGCTTCTTTTAGTCAAATCTATTCTCTCAGTGTGGCCAATTTTGCTGCTAACTTTACTTTTGGCAGGGATATCGGGAGTTCTTATTTGGGCATTGGTAAGTCTTTCTAAAGATCTTTGTTGATAGAGCTGTGGGTCTCCTGTGTCAGGGAAACATAACTAGTTTGTTGATCACTTTAGAAGAAAATTTAAACCTTTAAGAACAATTTGATACGTGTGAAATGCTTCAAAGAAATAAGGCAAAATATGATAGACAATATGATAGACAATATGATAGACAATGTCCATCTTACGGGACAGGATTTAAACAGGAGGGAAGGCGATGCAATCCTAGATTTTGTACTTTTAAAAATATCTCCAAAATTAAAAGTATTGAATTCACTGTCTTTTTCAAAGTATTCAATAACGCATTTCTGTAAAGAAATAGTCACGACAGACCCCCATGCACCTACATGGGAGGGTACTTCTCGGTACCTAATAGATTAGGGTCCCCGTGGTACCCGGGACCATTGCTTTGACAATGTGCCTTCGAGTAAAGAAGAAGATACTCATGCATTTCAATTCACAATAAACCCGCCTACAATTTATAACTAAAGTATATTTCATTTTTTCAAACCATTACGGGAGTACCATAATAAGCAACGCCATTTTTCTAAACCATTCGTCAAGGGATCATACGATGGCTTCTGGTGGGCTGTTGTCTCCATGACAACAGTTGGGTAAGTAAAGGGTTTCCGTGCTCCTGGGACCCAGACAACTCCAAACTCCCCACGTTTTCTCGGCATTTGGCTTCCGTAAATCAAATTTACAATGCTCTGAGTTAATAAAGTTTGTGACAAAAACCCTTCAACCCTCGTGAATACCAAAAGGGTATTCACATTTTATAGAACCCTGAAAAAACTCTGGGCTGATCTAAGTCGGGGCACACTGACTCACAGATGAAATTGTAATTTAGCTGGTTAGGTTTTGCAGAGGGAGGAAAACTGGAGAACCCTGAGAAAAATCCTCGAATCAAGGGAGATAGTTAACAAACTCTTCTACATGTGATGCATGCCGACTTCATGAATCGAAATCTCGTACTCAGAGCCCAGAGGATCCACTGGTATTCCAAGTGCCTGAAAATATTCATTTTAGCTGTTTGAATTGAAAAACATTAAATCTCACTCGCAATGCATTGTGGGATACAAGTGGAGCCTCCTCTGCCCGAAGAAACAAAGCATGCGCAGTAAGAAATAAGGGCTCTGCGTACGAGTTGGAGACTACAAAGGTGAGAAAAGAAGAGAGTCCACTACTACTAGATAACCTTGATTCCTTGAATGTTGAATGTCACGGAAACATACATAAAACCACACTCTAAAATTATTGATTGCTTCAGATACGGCGACCAGATCCCACGTTCCATATTTGGTCGTTTATTCGGCATTGCTTGGATCTTGACGGGAGTAACTCTAATTGCTGTGTTCACGGCATCAATCACTAGTGCCATCACCGTAGTATCCGTCAAAGGGTCTTGCAATGAAATGCAGGGACAACGCGTACGTGAGTCTTATCTTTTTAATGATTTAATTTTATCACGATTCTTCTCAATCACTGTACGCTCGAAATCCTACGAAATAGAGTTTTGCTGGATGGAAATCAAAGTACTGTATTTCCATTTCAGAGTGTTCAAAGCCGCGTGCTTATGTAAAGGCTATGTAATGTCATGGAAACGCTTTGATGACGTTCACCAAAACCTATTTCGTCGCGACGGAAATCTCGGAGATCTCGGCTATGCTTGAGTGTCCACCCAAGCAATGGGTACTTTTCTCAATGGAGTACGGAATGTCCCACCAACAAACTTGAATTCATAAGATGTTTTAGTAGTTATCGATTTATTTCTTAATGTACATTCAAAAGGCATTGATTCTAAGACAGACATTTACGATTTTCAACAATCGGTTTCTGTTCCATGCTGTATATCAAAAACACATTTTAGCTTAGTCGTAAAGGTTTTTGTAGGTTGGATTCATATTATGAAACTCAAATTGACTCATCAACCTTTAGAAATAATTTTATAATTTTATTTTTAAATATTGTAACGTATTTTAGTTCCTCTGAGGATGACCGTGTTGGTCGAAAGCTAAGGAAAATATAGAATTATTTTTAAAGGTTGATGAGTCAATTTGAGTTTCATAACATTTTAGCTTGTCCGACATGGCAACAGTAATTAGGGAGGTAGAACAATGAATGCGATYGGTGTATTAAGAAGATTTGTGAAAATAACACATGAAAGCCTAAAGTTTATAAGGAAAGCGTATGACGCAGGACAAGACCAACACATGAAGGGGTTGGTTGAGAGCTCGATAAAATTATAAAGGCTTTTCCTTCTTGCAGATTGCTGTGATAAATAATTCAGAAACTGAAGTTACTGCACGTCATCACGGAGCAGTTGTAAAAGGTAAAATGAGTTGCGATACGTTGTTGAGATGTTTGAGATTTGCAAAAGGTATTCTCGTTTTTGAGTATAGCAAATTATTGGACAACTTCGACGATACGTCGGCCATCTTGGATCACAAGGCATTGTGGGGCGTCCAGGGGGCAAATAAAGCATTGTTAAAGCAATGACGCGCGTCCATTGATATTAACAGCTCACCACAAGAGAATACAACAAATGATGAATTAAGACAGCACATCGACCACTTTTACCCTTATAAAAGAAAGACAAACACACGAATATAACGTAACAATCTATATTTTTTTACCGTCTTTGTTTTGTTTTGCCCCCCGGCAAGATGGTCGCCGTATCGTCGAAGTAGTTCATTCTCAGCACATTCGAGATTGAGCGCTATAACATTATTTTTTCTTACTTAGCCTACGACGACATCATGGCAATGTTCAGTGACTTGAAGTCAGAGCAAGTAGATGGTATATTAATGGATCGCCTCAAAGGTTATTATTACCTTAATATCATAGATGACGATATGTTGCGAGTATCTCGAGCACTACAGAGTTTAATGCCCTATAGCGTAGCGGTAGTAACGGGTAACATGACTGATATCATCACCAAAAATAGCTGCTTCATGGATTTGTTAGCGAACCCAAGAGGAAAGATTAATCGAATGATGAAGAGGTACATAGTCCCTGTAAAGGTAAGCAGGACCTCACCGCCTCGCCTCGCCTCGCCTCGCCTCGCCTCACCTCACCTCACCTCACCTCACCTCAAATTTCACTTATCCTTATTTTTCCAGCCCATGACGTCCAATGAAGATACAATCGGTCTTTTTAGCAGTGGTTCTGGTGCACTGACCAACACAATATTGACGATAACATCCCTATTGGTTATTCTTTTGTTATGTGGTTGTGCATGGGATCGACTGTATAAAACAAACAACTGCTTTTCGTCTACAGGCGTTCCTCGTAAGTTTACTAAATGTGTTTTTGTCTGAGTGAGAAACATACGGTACTGACTTACAGTACGTACTCGGTATGACATGCCGTAGAGAGGTTTTGGTATGAGTGGRAAACATCGGGTACTGACTTACAGTACGTACACGGTATGACATGACGTAGAGTGGTTTTGGTATGAGTGGGAAACATACGGTACTGACTTACAGCACGTACACGGTGCGACGTGCCGTAGAGTGGTTATTGTCTGAGTGGGAAACATAGGGTACTGACCTACAGTACGTACATGGTATGAAATGACGTAGAGCGGCTTTGGTATGAGTGGGAAACATACGGTACTAACTTACAGTACGTACATGGTATGACATGACGTGAAGCGGTTTTGGTATGAGTGGGAAACATACGGTACCGACTTACAGTACGTACACGGTTCGACATGCCGTAAAGTGGCTTTGGTATGAGTGGGGAACATACGTTACTGACTTACAGTACGTACTCGGTATGACATGAGGTAGTATAGAGTGGTTTTGGTATATGTAGGTAATGACTTAAAACACGTTTACCCATGGTACGCCGTTTCGGTCGCCTAGCAGTGGCATGCAAAAAGTACGACTGCCCGCTACGTGCCTTGTTCTCCCACACTAGCTTTTCTCGTAATCTGCCAATATCCGCTTGCTTAATGGCTGCACACAACACGTGCGTGYGCTTTCTATTTCTTCAGTAAGGACATCAGATATCAGCACCTACCATACTAAGCTCACTTCTCTCTGCATTTTTACAGGTCAGATGCTTACGAACACCAATGATATCGCCATGGTAAACCAGTCAAGTGTTGATCAACTCGCTCAAATTCAGTCGGCTTTGAACAGCTTAAATGAGCAAATTCTTGAAGTTAAAGTAATGGTTGGAGGTAAAGCACAAGAAAAAGAACCTTAGATTAAGAGGTAATATAATAATATATATATCAGAGTGCTTCGTGTTTCATAGAGGATTATATATAATAAATGCCTCAATAACTTTCACTTGTTTATTATAAATCACTTAAAATGAGGCCCCGTCCACACTATGCCGGATAAATTTGAATCCGCAACTTCCACACTGAAACCGAAAAAAAAGTTTCCCCTCCACACATGAAAACGGATAAAATGTTTCGCGTCCACACTAGTCCGATCAGAGGCGGCAAAAACGCTTCATTGCACATCTGAGCATGTGCATCGAAGCTGAAATTGAGCCCGCGGTGATTTTTTAGCTTTCCCGCCATGTTCCCATAACAATCATGACGTCATCGTATTCGAAATGTTCTCCGTCCACACTAATACGGCTAGCCGGCGTTTTCAAATTGTTCCACTCTGGAGACCGTATTCGAAAAAATTCGTTTTCGGTGAAGAATTTTTCCGGATTCGCCCGGACTAGTGTGGACGGTAGGCCTAACCGAATAAATGAAAATTCAAATTTATCCGGCATAGTGTGGACGAGGACTGAGTTTGAGGAAAGAAAAAAAAACTCGTCACTTCGTGTTATCACGGGTTCCAAAAATATCTCGAAACCATAATGTAGTACTTCTATCAAACGATAAGTGGTCATTACGAGACCGAAAGGGATTACGGGAATACAACTAAACACAAATAATCGAACTGTTTTACGAAACATTTTTGTCCATCACAAGCAAACCTAGCTGGATATGCCAACATTAAAAACCTCCATGGAATGACCTATATTGCTTTTCGTCTATGGCCCTAGTATCGCCTTTAGCTCCGACAACTATAAAAAAGTAGGTGAAATTGCGAGCTATTTTAGGTGGAATTCAGCCATTTTTTACAGCAATTAATACTTTTAATTTACATATAGTTATATATAAACGACTGGTAAAACTGAAGTTACCTCAAACACGTTGAATGTTCCATGCGAATTCCGAATTTGAATGACTTTGATTCCCGCCAAGGGCATTTGATATTTTTCTCTTATTCTCTCTATTTCATTACACACACAGAACGTAAAATTTATTACTACTGACTTTGAAAACTTTAAGACAGATGTTTTTTTTCTTTTTCGGATTACCCTATTTTTTTGCAGGCGTCTATCTTATCTCTTTATTTATTTTTTGTTATTCGGGACACCTGTGTCCATACTTATTAAAAGAGAATATACAACAAGAGAAATTGGAGAAGGAAGCGTAGAGTGAGACACCTCTCAATTAAACGCCGACCTATTAACAATTTAATATAGTTATGAACATATGTTTAACAATATTGTCGTTAATTGTGACTTACTGCAGTTAGAATTCACTAATTGAGGTATTTATATACATCTAAAAAGATATAACTAGCTAAAAACTAGTGTGAGCTGCGTCGGTGTTTCTAATGAAACAGTAATGATGAAAAGGTAAATTATACACCGTGAAAAGATGAAAAAACTTACTGACGTTTCGGACGCTAGTCCTTCGTCGGAGTAAAAAAGCTCTTTTACTCCGACGAAGGACTAGCGTCCGAAACGTCAGTAAGTTTTTTCATCTTTTCACGGTGTATAATTTACCTTTTCATCATTACTATTTATATACATCTGTTTCAAAAAAGAAAACGCTGTCGTTCCGAGATTTGAAACTGAAATCTGAGATCGAGTAGAGCTGCATATTAGAGAGTTTTAGATTGACTTTTTTTTCTCCCCGCAAACGGCAAACGTGACCACGTTTTCATAGTTTTCGTGTATTTTACTTTACCTTTTACAAACCTTCTCACCAAGCGCAAATACTCTTTTGTTTTTCTACTACTTGGACTTTTTTGCGATTCTTTTTCAGTAATTTAAAAGAATTTTTTACTGGTCAACTGACGTTTCACGTTTGCCGTGAACGTAAATCTAAAACTCTCTATTGTAGTATATTCACAGCCAAACAACGTAGTTCCCTTTTAGATTGGAATATGAAGCGTATCATTTTAGCCAGAAGACATAAAAGCACAGAAATTCCGATTAGTCTCGCAGATCGCCTATTATTTCATCTACGCCAAATAATGGCGTAGCGGTATGCACTCGCCTCTCACCTCTGGGGTCTCGGGATCGTGTTCGATTCCTGGACACACTGTAAACAAATCTGTAAACCTACCAACCTTCACTTCACTCTTCACTTCGCATCACTCCATTGTTCCGGATAATAACTGCACGATCTCAAATGGATTCTTATCTTACAAACGTCAATCCCTCGCGTTCGCAGTCAGACGTAATATTCTGTTACGCAAAAATCAAAAATCAACTCTAGATAGATAAAGGCTTCAGTAATTCTGCTATAAATAAACATAAAGAAACCCAAAATATAATAAATTTTGAATTCTTGACATCATTCGGGTTATTTTGAGAACAACAAATTTAATCCCCAACAAATCTTGACGCAAACTTTGTCTAAATTTAAACCGTTAACTTTTACCAAGCGTGCGTCACATTGGATGTAATCTGGACGGAGATATTTTGGGCGCCAACTGCATCGTTAACCCAAGATTTTTATTATCAAGCAATCCCACGTCCTGGTACGATATACATGAGATTCGTTTAAATCATTAAAAAACGAGGGGGAAAATTCTAGAGGTGAAGAAAGCGGTGGTAGTTCAGAAAATTTCGCGCAAAAGAATATAATTTCTAAACTGACGAAAAATTCAATTGTAGTTTTGTTTTGGGAAGTAATTTAGTTTTTATAGTGAGAGGCGTAAAGCATTTGGATAAGAGCAAACTCAACTAGTGTGAAAAAGTTCGCGTCCTTCATCACTGATGATTTTAGTTAACAATGGAGTTGTTAAAAATTGCTGCACCACCTATACGATAATTGTGGTAAAGCATTTTGTCCAACGACTGAATTTGCCTGGCAAACACGAGTACATTACTACATGAATTCATTCTTTAAAGCTTAAAATCCAGTGAACATAACTCAGATGCATCTTTTTTTGACCAATTACCGCAGAATACCACCATCTATTTTACATTATTTTCACTTTTTTAAGTTCAATTCAAATACTTTGATTGATTGATTGTGCAATTGCACACAAATTCTAGCCTAATATACTTTTTAAATGAATACAACTTTAATTTCTTATGTTTTAATACCGAAATCTTCTTCTGCCATTTTTTATCCAACTGTAATACGTATGTGTTCCGGAATCAGCTTTTACGAAAGAAGAAAATAAAGTCAGATGTTGAAAACACGGCTTCGCTTTAATTTGTTTATTTATGTTTTGTTATCATCATACAGGCGGTATGTCTTCCACCTTTCGCGACCAATAATACTGAAATGATTCTTCTCACAACCATCACAAATTATTACGACATATGTGCTAAAAATGTAGTTGAAGTATTTAAATCTTTTATTTCTTGAAATTGTGATCTTGTGGTGGTTAAGGCGTCATTCCATGATAATTTCAAACAAGCGAAATGAGTTGTGTGGATTAGGCTAACTTAATAAAGAGAAAATTCAAACAATGAAAAATACACAAGAATTTTTCGGCGAAATCAGTGCTCAAAGCAATTCTAAAACGTAGGGAAAAAATTTCTTGTCAGTCTCATGTATTTTAAACAGGAGTCGAGCAAAGCTGAAAAAAGGCCAGATGTTTGAATGTAAAATGAGGCGGACCACCTTTATTATCTACGAAATTGTTTTAGTAAAAAAGGAATTACAAAAGAGTTCAGTTCAATTTAAGAGTTTTGGTATCTTATTCGAGAGTAGTCACTCCTCTTTTTTTCTTATTTTTCTTTTCAAGATTTCTCCATTATTGTTCAATCGCCAAATTGTGTCCAAAGCTTTTCCACTGATCGATTGCATATCAGCCAGTTTTATCAATAACACTTCTGTCAACCAGTGGAAACCTTGCCCAGAAGTCTAAGATCAACTTATAAGTTATTATAAACACGACTTTTAACACTATAGAAATGTCTGTTATTCTATTGTAAAATAAGATATCCGAGTAAAGTGGAAGGCCTAAATATTCCACAAAATTGCAACAGTTCCGCCCCTATTTTTTTTTAGTATTATTATTTTAAATCTTTTTTTTTTTTTTTTTTTTCATAGTTACAAATAAATTTATTTTCATTTTTTTATTTATTTTGTATACATGTTATATACACTACAACAACAATTAAGTTTAATACAATTGTTCGTTTATACATCATGTGAATCGAAAAATTCTGCGTTTTATATACTACGCATATTTTATAGCTTAATATTATTCAGATGTAAACGAAGTTATCAACACAGATTTTTTTAGGTTATAAATATAAGAAAAAATTATTTAAAAAGTTGAGACTGAAAACAATCACTAAATACAAAAAAGAACTCAATTTTCAGTAACTATTTTTCTCAATGGAGCAAAATAACCCGGTAAGAGCGGTTTGCACCGCTGCAGAATATGCGGGGTGAAGGCAGTGAGAGTATAGCAGTTTGAACCACTCGAAGAGTTCGAATAATGTTCTCATACACTTGTCAAACATCATATTGTCTGGAACAAACGTCTGGCGAACGATTAAGTTAAACGTGGCTTATGGTGCCAAAGGGTCGGCCTTTTTTCAACCTTTTTTACCACCAAGTTTTTAATAAATGTCATTGTTTTGAACTATTAGACTTTTGCACTCTAAAAATCGTCAATGTACATCATGTATTGGGAATTTAGCAAAGATTATAAAAGAATTAGACATCAAATACTAAATTGTAATCTCTGTTTTATGCAAGTTATGGATAACGAGGGGAAAAAAAGGGAATTCAAAAACGATTATCTATAAAAATGAAAAATCTTTTGCATCTAAGGATTTTCACAATCAAAAACCGCTTGACTGTATAATTATTTTTGGTTGACGAACAATCAACATAGTCATTATCACTGAATTCAGGTGAAATTTTGCCATAATTTAGACCAATCCTCATGACCATCTGTTCTCGGTAACGGCTATCGGCCTCTGCCAGATATTTTAATGACTGGCTGCCGTTTTATTACCATTTTTAGACTTGATATTGTTATTATTTCATTTAGAAGCATGATTTTATAGATTTTCAAATGTTATTACCAACGAAAATTTATCGAAAAAGCTAAAGATTGTGGTTTTTCCTGCGCGCAAAATAACTGTTCTTTACGTGAGAAAACAACGTTGAACATTTGCGTAAAGAAAACTATCAATAATTCAGGTCATTCTGATGACAACATTGTGATAAACGAATTTGACAATCTATTCAACTATAAATGAGGCTGGGTTGTAAATATCTCATTACAGAGAGAACTGAGTAAGAACGTACACACTTCTTTGGTTCTTGAGAACTTGGCCACACATTAGATACTTGAAAAACAGAAACGAAATTGAGGAAATGCCTCCCAARAACGATTTTGTTGTCCTGTTGTTTGGGATAGTGGCTTTGTCCATCTTGAGCGACAACCATGGAGTGTATTCTGCATTCATTCAAGGCGGAGTTCAACGAGACTTCGGCGACTGGTATAACAACTATAAGCCTTACTATGAAACAGAAGAATACAGCAAACAAACTGAGGAAGAGTTAGAAAACAACCCTTTGCAGCCCGGAGGTTATAACTATGAGCAGAACGACGGCCCTCGARGTGGAAGAAGCCTAGAAGAATTAAATGGCCGAGGAATGTCTGATGGTCCAAGAGGAGGAAGATCATTTGACTTCAAAGGACCTCGAGGGGGTCGATCAGCTGAAGGACCACGTGGAGGTAGGTCCACTGAATATGGGCCTCGTGGTGGAAGGTCGGCATTATATGGCCCCCGTGGTGGAAGATCGATGGAATATGGTCCCCGTGGTGGAAGATCGATGGAATATGGTCCCCGTGGTGGAAGATCGATGGAATATGGTCCCCGNATCGATGGAATATGGTCCCCGTGGTGGAAGATCGATGGAATATGGTCCCCGTGGTGGAAGATCGATGGAATATGGTCCCCGTGGTGGAAGATCGACGGAATATGGTCCCCGTGGCGGAAGGTCCTTAGAGTATGGTCCCCGTGGTGGTAGATCATTAGTAAGTGGTCCCCGTGGCGGCAGGTCTCTAATGTCTGGTCCTCGCGGTGGTCGGTCTTTGGTTTATGGTCCTCGTGGTGGAAGGTCAATCGTAAACGATTTAAATAAGAATACACATAAAATCAAGAAAGATATATATGCTGGACCTCGTGGTGGTCGCAGTGTAACTAAATCTGGACCTCGAGGAGGACGGAGTATCTCAAGGATGAGGCGAAGTATAGAAGAAAATGGTTCACGAGGAGGGCACGAAAATGAAGGACCACGAGGAGGACGAAGCATGGACGTTGATGGCCCAAGAGGTGGCCGCAGTATGTACGATGGGCCCAGAGGTGGGCGTAGTATGGAAGATGGACCCAGAGGTGGGCGAAGTATGGAAGATGGACCAAGAGGTGGGCGGAGCATGGAAGACGATGGACCTCGTGGAGGACGCAGCATTTTCGATGGACCCAGAGGTGGGCGCAGTATGGAAGATGGACCGAGAGGTGGGCGCAGTATGGAAGATGGACCGAGAGGTGGGCGCAGTATGGAAGATGGACCACGTGGAGGACGCAGCATGTACGATGGACCCAGAGGTGGGCGCAGTATGGAAGGACCAAGAGGCGGCCGCAGCATGTCTGATGGACCAAGAGGAGGGCGCAGTATGGAAGGACCAAGAGGCGGCCGCAGCTTGGAAGAGGATGGACCACGAGGTGGCCGTAGCATGGAAGATGGGCCGAGAGGAGGGAGAGAAATATTGGAAAATGAAGAAACCGTTGACACTGAAAATGGTCCTAGGGGTGGAAGAGACGAAGCAGCAGATACTGGCCCTCGAGGAGGAAGGGATGTGACAGGGAGAGAAGGAGAACTCATTAGAAAGAAGAGAGTTTCTGACATAGACATGGAAGCGTATCATACAAAGCTCAAGAAAATGAGATAAATATTAAACATCTGGGCAATAATCACGAATCAAAAGCATTTTAATGTTGACTTTGCTATCAGGCAAGAACAGAAGAGATCAAAACAGTTCAAATTTCCAAATATTTAGTGCTTACCATTTTTTATTTATTTATTTTGTGTGTGTGTGTGTGTGTGTGTGTGTGTGTGTGTGTGTGTGTGTGTGTGTGTTAAAATTGATCGAGAGAAAGGAAGCTTATGTTTGCTTAGGACTTCAGCATTTGGGGATGAAAGAAATGTAAAATGTAGAGATTCAAAGAGCTTTAGTTGATGTGAATGGTGGTAGAGTGCTGCATAATGAAAGCGATTTTTCACACCCATCATGAACTGTGGTTTCGATGTCGATTATTACTAGTGATATTATGCAAATCTTGATTCCTAATGGAAAGGAAAATAAAGGRAAAATCACTTAAATTAACAGTGTGCCACTTTTTTCGCGTTTTCGCAAAAAATTTTATTATGCCACAGGGAGCCCAATTTAGAAAAAAGTTTTAAGTGCATACCATAAATCCGTAAAAAACTTCGTAAGAAATTGTACAAATTAGTGCAAAGCTTTGTGCAAGAAAGGAATGAACATTTGCAAACTCGGTGCGGTTTACTGATTAAAATAATGTGTACAATTTCTTACGATTTTTTACGGATATATCGTACGTACTCTAAATTTTTTAAAAAATTGTGAATGGCTCTTCTCGACTTTCGCTTCTTTTCACATTGATAAATAAAAAGCAAAATCCTCGATGACACTATAAGTTTCAGGGAAAAAGTCCATATTTTTTTTTTGTAGTACTGGGCAAGCTTGTTCAATTCCATGAGTTACAATAGACATTTTGCAGTAGATTGACATGCGATTGTTACTGGATGCATGGCAAACAAAATCGGACTTCCTTTTATTTAAAGATTTTTTGCAGGATTATTAATGTCGTGTCCAAAACCTTTTCAAAAATACTTTTTTCCCCCTTATAAGATACTTTGGATTTCAAGATACGAAGCAGTTAGAAGTTTGTTTACCATCCAGCAGCCTTCCCCAAGGGACCTTGAGCTGAATTGATTCGTTATCGAAGTCATACATCAGTACTTGACTGTTCGTTGCAGAAGGCTTATTTCAATCTCAAATGAAAACGTCTTTGAGAGCTTCGTGTGCATTATTTTTTATTTAACTCCCTGGCATTAATGATATTACGAAAGTATGTATACTATAAGACTTTACAGCTTGCATTGCATTTAGTTTAGGGCATCCAAAATAAGAAGCATTGTGAATAGTATATACGATAGAAATGAACTCTTAGTTTAAACATGAAATATAAAAAATATGAAATATATTTTTGAACCACGGAATGGCTATTGCACAGGTGAATTTCAAGAGGTCAATCAAAAAATGAAGGGAATTAGGGGCATACATCTAAACATAAATAATCGAGGTGTTCAAAATGGCTTTTTTYCCATGCAAAACTACTTGATACCTTAACACTAACTTTTGTGTTTTTAATGAGAATAATAAAATAATAAGAAAGACTAGTCTTTTCACATTATTTTGGATCTTGAAATGACCTACAGTATCTCGTATCACTTTAATAAATATCACCTTAACCTCTTTTAGAGTGAAGTCATTAAACCCGTGAAATAGATATTAGACTAATACACTTTATAGACCCTAAATCCATTGTTTTCTTTTGTGTCTATTTGAGTATTACACGTTGACTAACGTTTTTTATTTCACGGGTTAATTGCTTTCACTCTAGCTCTGACAATCTTTTTTGAAATACATTTAGGTGTAAAATGATTTGAAAGAAGGAAGGCAAGTTATTCCAGCTATTACTGGATCTTAACATGACCTGTCTCCTATTGCTCCTATTGATCCTATCCTATTGAATTATTGCCTAACACCTATTCCCACCTATCTCCTTTGGCTTCAAAAACCTTTTTAATAGGTGTATTTGACTAATAAGATTGTAGAATGTAACTAAAGTCCTTTGTTTCTTATGACAGTCCTTGCAGAATTGTCTCAAACGTTTAGTTTCCTAGTAAATTTATTATATAAGATTATTACAAGTTAAAAGTCGAATCCTAAATATGCAAGTGCCATGAATACTGTGTACAGCAACAAGAGAAAGCCTCCAAGAACCCACCAGACGCTGTACAAACCTGAAAACGAAAACAAACAAAAAAAATCATAAAAGAAAAGGTAGGGTGTGTCCTCTTATTTACCATGATATGACGTCAACAGTTGGTCCAAAATGTTATGAACTCATGAGGGGTAGCCAACTGATCTAGGTGTCTAATTTTGACCAACTGTTAAAATCATATCCAGGTCTGTCGCTAGCACCTTGAAAGTTCGTTTTTCTACCAATCATAGTTACGCCATTCGTTGAAAACCTAAAATATTATTTTGTACTCCTACATAGGCGAAAGGGGCGTGTTTCAATGTAAGGGGGGGTCAAGGTACATCCCCCATTGAAAATCAAACAAAAATAATTTCAAACCTGAGAAAGTGTCAATGGGATAGGAATGGGATAGGAGGATCTTACCTTTATTTGCCACTAGTGTAACTTTACATGTGTTGTCTGCAGAAATGCTAAGAAGAGCTACTTCTGTATTCAAATCATTGTTAATGAGCTTTGACTGAGGAAGGAATCTAAGTCCAGTGACAAAGATATTGTGCACTTCCTGGAGCTTGATGATTGGCTGTGAATGAAATACAACGATACATTATGTATAGAGGCTTTGCACCATCACAAGATGGTAGCCATGACAGGGGGCACAACAATAGAGCATTTTCCCTCTGGGAAACTGAATCCTTTCTAATGTAAATCAGATTAGACCAGAATCAATTGTTCCTGTCTGCTGTCATGGCTGTCGTCACGTGATGGTGCAAAGCCTCTATAGACCTCAAGCCAAGGTGTGGCATAACAGATTATTTTTTTTACACTTTTTGTAATGTGTCATTCTCTTGAGTATCATTTCCTAGTTTAACAATTGCGCATGAGAAGACACATGAATGCAGATACAACTCAAACAAAGAATCTCATTCTCAAGGGAATGACATGGTGTGAAATGGGTAAACATTATGCCCAAGCTAAAAAGGTATATTGAACAAGCAGGGTACAATAGGAGAATTAGAAAAATGAAAAACTATTGCACTGTAGTTTTACTTGTTTTTCCTATAATTCTGAAAGTTACCATTAAATTCCATGCTACGTAAACTGCAATACCACCATCTGAGGTTCCAACGCCTATGTAAATTCCATCATTACTGAGGAAAAATATGACAGGAAATTTCAATATGGTGGTTAACGTCAATGTTGAATTGAAATAAAATTAGGAGTCGTAAATAGTCCCACAATATAGTTCATTTATATACAGTATACAGTATGGATGGATGGATGGATGGACGGACGGACGGACGGACGGACGGACGGACGGACGGACGGATGGATGGATGGATGGATGGATGGATGAGATAAATGAATGGTTGGATGGAATGGATGGATGGATGGATGGATGGGTTGATTGATGTACCAGTACTGACCTGATAGCCATTTGAGTTACAGGGTCCATACCAGCTGGTTGACTTAACGCAGGTACCCATTTGGTACAGTCCCACTTGACGAGATAACTTGGAGTTGGCTGCTTCCTATTAAACTTTGATGGAACATGGATGGTGTATAAATTGACAGTTTTATGTTCATTCACCCCAAACCTGGATATTAAAAGAAAAAAACGTTACATACATAAAGTTTTACAAGGACTGTGTAATGTGCTGTGCAAGGGGGCTATATCCCCCCCACTCACACAAACATACATTTTTTGTCAATATTCACTAAATAGCCCACTTTCGAGATATGCTTCACTTGTCACACACACAGGTTTCAGTACAAGATTACATTTTAAATTAAATTAATTCTCTTCTCCTGTCACGAATAACTGAAAAATATGCCCAAAGCTTTATATTGAAACTTTCGTGATAAACAAAGCATATCTTGAAAATGGGCTATTCTTAAGGCCTCAACTTTTACCTAAAATATATATAAAAATGAAATAATAGATAAACTTAAAGAGGGTCATGCTTGACAGTAATTGAAATGTTAAACTCACTATCTTTTTTTAACGTCCCTAGTTAAATAAGGAAGGGACCATCATTAATATACCACTAGTCATCCGAGCCACTTGAAGATCATTTGCAGATGTAATTACAAAGGCAGCACCTTCTCCTTAGTTATTCTTAAGACCCTGAGTGTTGGTCCGGACGAGGCTTGAACCACAACCTCTTGCACAACAGACCAATGCTCTTACCTGTAGGAACTGAGCCAACTGGGTGGTAGTTAAAAATACATAGCTATGGCAGTTATGCATACTAACCAATCTAAACACCCCACCAACCCTCTTTGGTTTGTTCCATGGTTCTTGTATTAGTATTGGGAGGCACCTGTAGCAACTGAGCCAACTGAGTGGTAGTTAAAAATACATAGCTATGGCATTTATGCACACTACCCAATCTAAACACCCCACCAACCCTCTTTAGTTCCTTCCATGGTTCTTGTATTAGCATTGAGAGGCATTTATTTTGATTCTCATTAAAAAACTGCATTTCACTGACAGATTAGTGTACTTATTATGTTGGTCCTAAGCCCTCAAAAATCAGTTCAATCTTTGCTYACCTACAAGCTCTAACCCTAAAAAAACCCTCTTCTCTGTCTCCTGAAAAGTACAACTGGAATTCCTTCTTGCCCTCCTCAAGCCTCCAGACATATGCTGTGGTGTCTCTYGATACTGTAACAAACTAATGATATAAAAATGGTTGAGTATTGAGTATAAAAAGATGATAAACGGTACTTTATCTATGATGTGTGATTTTTAAAACATGAAAGTGTACAGATATTATCTTCCTTTCATCCTTATGTGAATGGTTTATTACTATGCACCAATGTGTAGTTCCAGAAATAATCCATACCCCCCCTCCCCCACAGAGGAATTTAGAATTTCCAAGGGGTAGGGGGGTCAAAGAAAGAATAAAATCATAAACATGGTATGGAAGAAAATTGAAATTTCTGAAGATAGGAGGGGGRATAATTTCTGGAACTATACAATACAAATAGTATGCAACGATATAACRCAAGTTTCACATGAATATGGATATGTACATTTCAACAACGCATGGTCTAAAACAGGAACACATGACACCTAAGCTAAAAAAATAACTATTAAGAGCTACTCTTATAATTTTCTTCATTAAGGTTAGAGGGAGAAAAAGCCCCAATCATGTTCTAGACAGCCATCAAAATGGCTGATAGGGTACTCACTTGTTTGCAGTTAGGATGTATATCAAGATCATCAACATCTGTTCTATGTGCCACAACATCATGTAGACATTCTAAACYTGGGTACTTAAAGAAAAAATATATACTCATGATTGGATGTATTAGCCAAATGAATCCAAATGCAGCATGTCTTCTCATTTATTATCATCATCATTATCATCATCATTAATTTCAAGTATACACATTTGTAAAGCACATTTTCTCATGCTTTGGCTTCCATCCAACAAATTAACAACCACTATTGCAATGATACTATTGCTCATCAATGCAACCCTAGTTCGAGTCCTGCCWGGCTCAGTGTTGTATGTRAGTAGAGTTTCTAGTTGGCTCTCTTCTGTGCTTTAATGATTTTCCTCCCTCCACAAAAATCAACTTCTAAATTCCAATTTGATCATGGAACAGGAGCCACAGGTTTGTTAGCCACTGGCTATTGCTGTAAGTGCCACCTCATAAAAATAAGGACTGTTTTTCAAATTTGATTAAACCCATKTCCAGGATTATGCAACCCAGACAAAAAGTTATAATAGGACGTCTGGGTTTTTGTCTTCTGTCAATCAAATTTCCGATGGTCTGAGTAAGGATCGAATCAAACACATGACCTTTCAGATACCATTTGGATGCTCTAAATACTGAGCGACAGAAAAAAAAAATGTTTTACATCAAGATACCTTAAGAACTCTAACATGTCCATCTGAACCACCAGTTACAATATGCTTGCCGTCAGCTGTAAACTTAACAACTTTTTGGAAACCCAAATCATCTTCATCTTTAGCATTTGTATCATCAACTGTTATGGCTGCTTTCTTTTCCTTCACACTAAATGTCAGTACTTTCTTTTTGACAATTTTATTTTTTCCTTGAGGTTGYGGAATATTTTGTATTTCCTCCTTGCTCTCTAGTTCTATGAGCTGACATTTGTTGTCCATTCCAACAGCAAGAGTGTTCTTTGATGCAGGATGAATGGCACAGTTCATGATTGCTCTTTGMCCAGCATCAAACTTGTGTACAAGATCTGCTTTAAGTGTTTTGTTGCTTTTAACTATTCTATAAATATTCTGAAGAAATATGGGAGAGAAAGATATATTTTTTTGCATTCATAAATTCATGACTTCACTTAAGTAGGCAGGGTCTTACTATCAGCTATTATTATCATTCTACACTAGTGTAGTTGAGGTGTAAACACTGTACAGTACACTGTAGCTGGTTGGTTTACAAGGCAGTAAGCAGTATTAAGCGGTTGGTATAAGGTGGTCAGTAGAAAGGTAGTAAAGTGTTGGTAATTTGTAAGTAGGTGGTTCATAAGTGGTTGGCAAGGTGTTGGTAGTGTTTGGTAAGGTGTTGGAAGGTGGTTGGTGTATATAAAGTGGTTGGTATATAGTGGTTGGTAAGGTGTTGGTAAGTGGTTGGTTGGTGGTGGGTAGGTGGTTGATAAGTGGTGGGGTGGTTGGTAAGGTGTCAGTAATTGGTTGGTGGGTGGTTGGTAAAATGGGTTGAAATGAAACAGTAATGTAAAGATAAGCAAGGGACAGTGGTGCAAACATTGGAATTATGCTGCAAATTGCATAATACAATACAAAACTCTTTAAATGCAAAGAAAATTTAGGTGAGACCCTGACTTTTGTGAATGCATGAACATTCATCACTTTATTGTAATTTGGCCTTAGATACTCTTTCCATTTCCCTTGAATAATTTTTAAATATCCCTCTGATAGGAAATGGGGCAAAAGGCCAAGTTGTTGAAGTGGTGCAGCACCCTCATTTTCTTTATATTAATTGGTGTTTTTTATCATCGTTTATTTAGTGAAGACACCTGTCATTACCACTTCATAGAGAATAATAAATTAAACACGTTTGGAGTCAGCTTTAAAACTCAAGAAATAACAAACAAAAGCTTTAAAACAATCACACATAAGGGAAATAATAAAAATGGATTTGTTTTAGGWAAATTATACGAGGTCTGGTAGAAAGCTTCATTCCTTACCATACAATTTGGTACCCCTGTTTTAGCAGCACCGCCGCCACCGGCAACGAGAAAATGGTTCTGATCCAAGACATCTACGGCATATARAGGAAAATTCGTKGTGTCTAGTGTAGAAAAAGACATGDTTGYGAATTTATAGCCAAAAATATTACGGTTTAAATGTCAACTACATTGATATCTTTCTTCTTTTCTATTCACGTAAAGAATAATACGTGGCTTCTTATGTGTCCGCTGTACAACTCAAATGGGATTGTCCGCTGACTGCTAATTGTGTTGGGTTTCCTGTCTCACACTCTCAGCTGGGATAAACTTGATAACTTTCTACTTGTGACATGATCATGATACCAATGCTCAATTCAGCAAAAACATGAACCTTTTTTCAGGTACAAGTTCATTAGTTTTAGAATTTTTTTGTATAACTCTTGGAATAGAGTCTTCAATTCTATTCTATTGCACTCTGTTCTACAGCTGATCTGGAACAAAGTGTTAGCCAATCAGAACAGAAAAAAATTGAGCAAACTGTGTCACTTTGCCTTTTAAAATTATGGATTTATAGTCCATCAAGTGAAAAAAAAAACGTTAATAAGAGGTTGATAACAGTCTATTTATATTCACATTTTTATATTTTTACTGGAATGGTGCACAGGTTTTTATTTTTTGCCAGTCATTACGACACCTCAGTTTTGCAGTGATATCATTTCTAATTCACTATTTAATATCAGCTGGATCGGCTTACCCCTAGTCTTTTACCCTAGTAGAAATCATTTGTTATGTATTAATGTATAACTCAAGAAAAGTATTGAAAGAGGTTACAGAACAGCATTATGATTAGCTATGGTGCAGGCTTTTTTAGTAAATCTAACTTTGATTCAGTTTTTTCGCATCTATAATATTTTTTTCAACTAGTTGGATTTGACTAAGACAATATTAGRCCTCTCGCCCTCATGGCCTACTAATATACACTTATACCATTGTTTTCTTTTGTGTCTATTTGACTATTACATGTTGACAGTCTAGTTTTTTTAACTTCATTGGTTATTGCCTTCACTCTAATGAAAAAAGAAAAATGGACTTCAAACTGATAGTTTGTTTTATTAGATCTACAACATTTAGTTGCTTACAACTTCCTTTTGCCTTATATCAAACAGCGCATATTACAATGTGACACATCACAGAATTAAAACCTTACTTTTATAATAATGGTTTTGATCAAAATAATCAAAAAAATTGTACAAAAAT